GCTGCCGGTTACAATAGCCAGATGGAACCGTGGCTTGCAGAATAACAACCAACACTTATTATATGGGCCATTTGCTTTTCAAATAGCCATTATTTCACTCAGCGTTCAAACACGTGTAATAACCCTGAGTCCTAATTTGGCAGCTCAGCCTGTTGCCAGGCTTTGTTAGAGATGGCAGAGCAGCTTCCCAGAGCCCTAAGTAGGACAGATGAGAGCGTTGCCCGATTGCACTGATTGCACTTGGTGTCTTGTCCACCCCATTATTTTTGAATGCTTTTCTAGAAATGAAGAGTTTTCCTTTCTCTTCTTCGCAAGGCAAAACTATCCCAACAGGCCGGGGAGCTGATCTCAATTTCCACCAGATGAAGGTTTCATCCATTCCCTTTCCGAGGTACATATATGCACTGAGATCCCACTCGGAAGTACACATGGAAGTCTTACTGAATTCCTTTCTGAATTTTATGCTAAAATTAGTCAAAGGTAGCATAGACAAGATCATTGTAGGAAGGTGAGAAAAGAAGCCAGGTTGGATGTGGCTTGGAACAACCTGGTCTAGTGGAAGGTGTCCCTGCCCGTGGCAGGAGGCTGGAACTGGATTAAGTTTAAGGTCCCTTCCAATTCAAACCATTCTAGGATTACTACAAGAAAATACTTTTCTCATTCCATACCCTGTTGTTAAATCTGCAGAACCCCCTGTTTAACCGTACAATCTGCTTGTTATCTCTTCCATAGCCTAAAAGCAACTACATTCTTTCCATCCAGAATTCAAGTCGAGAGCCTAGCCTAAAGAAGAGAAGGCTCAAAGAGATCTTATTAACGTATATAAATTCCTGAAGGGAGGGTGCAAAGAAGATGGGGCCAAGCGCTTTTCAGTGCTGCCCAGTGACAGGCCCAGAAGCAATGGGCACAAAGTGAACCACAGGAGGCTCTGTCTGAACACCAGGAAGCACAGCTTTCAGTGTGAGGGTGACCGAGCACTGGCATAGGCTGCCCAGGGAGGTTGTGGTGTTTTCCTCCTTGGAGATATTCAAAAGCCACCTGGACAGAGCCCTGGGCAACTGGATCTAGGTGGTCCTGCCTGAGCAGGAGGGTTGGAGCAGATGACCTCAACCGTTCTGTGATGGATAATGCTAATAATGGCTCCAATCCCACACATGCAGTACCTGACATACGTGTACTCTGCTCATCCGCTTGCTCAAGAATAGAAGATACAGAAAGCTGAAGACGTTTGGCAAATATGAAATTATGTCATAGGTTATAACTTACTAGTTTATTATACCACAGAAATCAAGAGTGAACGCTATCTCCATCAGAACTAGATGAAAATCATTAATAAATAATAATTAGCTGTTTCCTGGGCCTGCCATCTGGTAAGCAATTTTCCCAGCCAGCTCCTTGCACTTCTCCAAAGCAGCTAAAGATGAAGACAGGGTCTTCCTTCTCCTCTGTCTGTCCCTTTGGGAAACTCAGAAACCCAGGATGCTGACCATCCTCCCCATTGGACCTCAGCATTCCACATGGACAGGGCTTCACTGACCCTCCTGCTTATTGCGATTCTTAAGCAGTAAGGAGCTAGACATTACTGAGACCTGCCTTCCATCCTGCCTCAGAAACATGTGGGCTCTAAGATCACCAAATTAATCATTCTAACCTGTAAGTGGCTGTCATTAGTATTATTATTTTCATCATATAAATTATCTTCCAGATTAGGTCATATGCATTTTGAGATCCTGCGGTTTCCTAGCAACTCCTCTCACCACTCCACATGCAGACACAATGTGCCGGCTTCTTTTCCTTTTTTAGACTCTCCGTGCAGGGGTTATATTCAGTAACAGTGATCTCAGGCCTGGCCCTAATGACCTTTAGTCTGTCACAGTTGTGGATGAGATGCAGAAGATAGATATCCAGATATGCCCCCTCAAAAGGCATTTACAGCAGATGGCCAGGAAAACATGGTCCTCCACTTGTCTCTCTTCTGTCCTGCAGACCAGGAGTCCTGAGCTCTGCAGGACAGGGATGACAAGAGCACACCCACACGTGTCACTGGCAGAATCTGGAAGACCCCATCAGCCTAATTCTAGCTTCTGACAGTGATGGATGTGACTGTACATAGCATGGTTCCCTGCAAAATCCTGCTGCTCCAAAGCTTTCATGGGGAGGCCTGAGTTCAAGGCTTTTGCTACTGTAATTTATCCCTGGGAAGAGGAAGCTTTTCCTGCTTCCTCACTGTACCAAGCCTTACACTGCTGCCAAGTGCTCTTCATGTCCTCAGTCCACTTTGCTCAGTCACATAGAACAGCATCAAACCTGCTGCAGGTGTCCGAGGGGAGCACTCTGCTGCTCGAGCCCTTTGTTACTGCCAGTACTGCATCCCTCATAAACATACAACAGGTACCTAAATATCACATAAAGCTTGTGACACTCCATGGCCATGCTTTCCAAATAACACACATTTACACACAGACTTTCCCATAAAGACATGAACTCTACTTTGAGAGTTGTTTCCAGTCTCATGGAAGCCAAACCAACTTTAGGCACCAGTTTTAATTAACTTCTCTGGCTGAGTTAACCAAGGTACGTACCAAATTTAATCACGATGGGGCACAGAGTTAGGCCATGTGACTAACCCAGACAATCTTTTGTGGAAGGGGAATAGGCTTCACTTCTGGCCTGCCCCAGTGACATTTGTGAAAATAACAATGTCTGTTCTAAACTCCAAAACCACGGGGCTTAATTATTTAGATAGTGGCCCTGTTTCAGAGAAGAAAAGAGAACAGACCTCAGAAACGAACCATCCTCAGTCCACACGGAGTACAGCTATTAATATTTGATCCCCTGTTAGCCTGGAGGCAGAGGGAATAATGTTCATTACAAAAGCCTGAGACTGAATCCACTTTAACAACTGGCTGAACCGACGATGAGGATGGAACCCTTCCTGCTGCAGGTGAGAAGTCAGGGACTCTGGCAATTCCTTCAGCAAAGGAGCTGCTGCTTCATCAAGCACAGTAAGAACTGGAAGCCTTCTGTGGTTGCCATCAGAGCCTCATTGTAAAGACCATCACTGAATCCAATACCCAGCAGAAAGTAAGGAACAGAAACACAAAGGCATACACTTGCAAATAGAAGTAATTTAGGGACTGTAGTGATAGAACAAGGGGTAACGGGTTCAAACTTAAACAGGGGAAGTTTAGATTGGATATAAGGAGGAAATTCTTTCCTGTGAGGGTGGTGAGGCACTGGAATGGGTTACCCAGGGAGGTTGTGAATGCTCCATCCCTGGCAGTGTTCAAGACCAGGTTGGACAGAGCCTTGGGTGAGATGGTTTAGTGTGAGGTGCCCCTGCCCATGGCAGGGGGGTTGGAACTGGATGATCTTCAGGTCCTTTCCAACCCTAACTATTCTATGATTCTAATTTAATGGAAATGTAATTAATAGGAACAGAGAGGCAATGCATGGAATATCCTCAGTCCCTTATCCCCTGCTCTCTCCCTCTAACTCATATCCAGTAGTAGCAGTCTCTGGGGTCTTTGCTCCAAATGACAGCCTCAGCCCAGTCCTATCTGGGGCCCAGAACAACACAGCAGCTGGGAAAGCCTTCAGCAAAACTGCAGCTTCGGTTTCACTGTCCTGTTGGATACCCAGCCTTTCAAATACACCTCACGTCCTTACACAGAGAGCCCTGTGAGATAGCTCAACCTCACTCTCATCTCACTACCATTGGAGTCTCAACGATAAAATGGGACAATGAAATCTAGGTGAAGTATAGAAAAGAAAGTCAATTTTGGATGTCCCCATTTTGGGTGTCAAAGGAAGATGTATTTTTCAGACTGGTCGTGCTCTATGTCACCCAATTAAAGCTGCAAACTGGGATCCTGTACGTGTCTTTGCTGAAAAACTGTCTGCTTAAGCAGAAGCTCTTAAGGTTAAACAAATCTTTCAGATATTGAGGGCCAGAACCACTCACACGTGTACAGTAACAGAGCTCCTGGATTTATTACACTCTGGACCCACGGCAGATATTTGCCTCTTGGCTTTACTCTTCCTACAGTGTATACCCATTAGCACCTCTAATTAGAAAGGAAAATCACGAGTTCCATGTTATTTAAAAGATTATGCATCATTTTAAACTCCAGCACAATGTAATTATTTTTTAATAGCCGCAGCTATTTCATGTATTTACTTTCAATGGTGTTTGAGTCATAAATTCATAGTAGAAAAGAAAAAGGCAAATCAGCACTTGACAGAGACTGCTTCTAAAAGAAAAACTGCAACGCTAACAACCGAGTGATCAAAAAAGGAAGAGGGACTCACTAGTTTTCTTTGTTTGCTTTATTCTGGACTGCTTTTTATCATCTAACTTGGCCCCTTGGAAGTCAAGAAGGTCAGGGACAAATGAAAATGAGAAGAGTTGAATCACAGCATCCCAGACTGGTTTAGGTTGGAAGGGACCTCAAAGTTTATCCAGTTCCAACCCCTGCCACAGGCAGGGACCCCTTCCACTAGAGCAGCTTGCTCCAAGCCCCTGTGTCCAACCTGGCCTTGAACACTGCCAGGGATGGGGCAGCCACAGCTTCTCTGGGCACCCTGTGCCAGCGCCTCAGCACACACCAGGAATATGTCCAAGACAAGTGTCTCTAGTCACTGTGCATCTCACCCCCAAAAATTATTAACTTTTAATTAAAAACATTTAAAAATAGTCTTTTAAAAGACAATGAACTTTTGCAAGGATAAACAAATCTGCAGGACCCCATTTCTTATCTCTGGAAGGGCTGTTAACACTCTGTGGCAGATTACATCCTTCAGACAGATCTACTCATCCAACTCCTGGACACTGAGCTGCTCCCCACAGCACCTTGTCCTGGCTGTGCACCCCTTGTATTTCACCCCCAGGCTTTTTCAGCAGAGCGAGAACCTCAGTTTTGCCTCCTCCTGGTACTGCCAGCACAGCACCAGGCACACAGTGCTCCAGGCTCTAACTTCAGCTTTTTTTCTGTCCACAGAAAGCCCGGCTTGCGAGGATTCGAGTGGCCAAGACGGGCAGCTCCAATGCCTACCTTCACAGCAAGCGCAACGGCCTCCTCAATGAAGCCCTTGAGCTGACGGTAGGTGCAGAACCACAGAGCTTCAGATGTTCCCTATTCCCACTCCTGTCCCTGGGCTCCTTCCCTTTCTCTCTCCGTTGCCACCTAAGTGCTCATTATCCAGTGTGGCAGCCTCCCACAAGGGATGGTGCTGTGCTCCCGTGACACTCTCGTGTGCTGTATGGGCTGTGCGGAGGGAGAGCTGGAATCCAGCTGCAAGATGGGATGGGAGGAAGCAGCTTCCTGTACTCCTCTTGGAGACAGGGAAGGATCTGGCCTTCCAGCAAGTGCCATGTGCACAGTTCCCTCAAATCCCTATGCTTGGTGGAGCTGATTTATACAGCCCAGGGACTGCCTATCACTATCCACTCTCTTCCAATATACAGTGAGTTATTTTCATGAGTTTCTTGCTACTATGGGCTATCTGGTCATGCCCAACAGCAAAATATTCCCTAGTTCTTCTTCCAGGCAGTTTGGTGGTGGGTTTATTTCTAACAGAAAGGCCTCTGGAGGCTTATTCTAGCTGTCCATGAGAAGAAAAGTTCTGAGTGCATTCAACTGCTCAGCAGAACCAGCTGAAACAAGAGGAGGTGATTACATGAAGCCCAGTCCACACTAGAGCAGGTATTCACCCATCTCATGGATTTAAGTTGAAATAAATCAGCCTTTTGTGCACATGTGGAGCAAAGAGTGAGATGAAGAGGGCGTGATGGAGTCATCAGAGCTGCCCAGCCCTCATTCATGCATCCTTACTTCAGGCCTCATCCTTCACATGTACATTATTTTCCCCTTGCACTTCTAAAATGGAAGGGTTTTCAACTCGCGGTGAAAGCTGCTCACTAGGACCTGAGCCCACTCCTACCCCAGCTCAGTGGGTGCAGCACACAGAGGGAAATTGGGCAGCACCATGTTTTGCATGTGGGATGCTCTTCAGTGCAGACCAAGGCAGAGGAGCCTTGCCATTTACCACTGAAAGAGCTTTTAAGCTGACTCTAAAAAAGCACTTCACATGAAGTACAGACTTGGAAGGTGGGATGCCCAGAGCAGTTTCGGTTCTCCCCTCCAAAACAAGTTTGATCCTTCTGACTACACATCTCACGTTGTCTCCTGCTCTGCAAGTGGCAGCAACACTCAGAAAAATCTGTTTCTTGAACCATATGTTGCTGTTGAGCAGTTCAAGAAATGTTTCTTTACCGAGAAGCAACCAGGAAGACTGGTCACACCTCGTCCAGAGCCTTCTCCCCAAGGAAGGAAAGGCTCGGGACGGGATGACAGCTCAGCTGAGATTCTGCTGTTCCATTACCCAGGAACATGTAAAAATGTGACTGCAAATTTAGTTCTGATTTCTAGTTTATAAAACCACCAGCAGGGACACTCCGTTTGCACTTGATCTTCCAGCCTGTCATCCCAACAAGAATCTCCTCACTTCTCTCATCAACCAAAGCTCCCTGCCAAGACCACTCAGGGAGGAGCAGCTGACGCACCGATGCTCGAGTCCAAAATGCATGAGGTTGAGAGAAATACTTGGCTGAATGGGTTTGTTTCCTGGCACTTGCCAGTGGAAGAAGGGGTCATTTTGCTGGCTACAAAGCTACTGGAGGCACAGGAAGGAAAACAAAAACATTCCTAAAGAGGTTCTAGAGGATTTAGCATGAGGCGTCCCTGCCCATGGCAGGGGGGGTGGAACTTGGTGACCTTAAGGTCCTTTCCAACCCTAACTAGTCTATGATGCTATGATTTTTGTACCCATTAATAACTAAACTTAGATATATATTAGCACCTAGAACAGGCGCTTTCCCAAGCTCTTCTGGGTGCTTGTATCTGGTGGGCTTATAGCTCTAAATGCTGATATGACCCTCCCACAGCCCAGTGAGAGCCACAAATCCAGCTTTGAAAAGTACTGAACACTGTGTACAGTATTTTGCTAAGAAAAGGCATTTCCTGTAGAAATAGTCAAAAGCAAAGGGTATAGGGAAGGAGGAAGTAGCATCCACCTGTGACAGAGAGCAACATAATTCACTAAAACAAGAACCTTGCCAAAGCCATGCCTGGCACCTGCACAACTACCTGAGGACAAGCTGCATACCTGAATCAAGAACTGAGACTTGTCTCTCCACCCACAGGTAGTGGCATTAATTACACGACATCTTTTGTTGGAAAGGTACACGAGACCATTCTAACTCCACATGGCAAGATTTTATGTCCTTTCATTTTATGGCAGGAGAACAAACTATTCTTAAAGAGCACAAGATGTGAATGACAGCACAGTCTAGCCAGCCAAATTTTTTAAGCTGTAAAACACATGAAGGAGTGTGACTTCTGCAGTCGCTATATTAGTGACCAGAAATATTATCTATATACTGTGCATATCCATCAGTCAGACTAGCATCAAGCTGCTTCATCAGTCAGGTACCCATCCCGTTCAGTCAGACTAGTATCAAACTGCATCATCAGTCAGGTACCCATCCCGTTTTGATAACTTGCCCAGGACTCATGCTAACTGTAATGGACTTCACACAGCCAGGCTGCCATAGGGCTGGATTGTTACCCAGCAGTAATTCCAACTGCAATTACTACATGGCCATCAGTAGGTATTATCACTTTCATCAGTAGCAATCCCACAGTACTGTGATCAATGTAGACCTGGCTTGCAGGAGCCCTGCAGACTGCCCCGCAGTCTGACACCTTGAGGGTTCACCCAAGGAAACAACTGCCCCAGAACGTGTCCTGGCTGTGGCTCTGCAGTCAAACTAACAAACTGGGAAGTAAGGACTGCTCAAGAGCCTGGAACATATGCCAGGAATGTCCTTTCATTTGCACCAGAATGAATACACTGACACCATCTTTCAAGGGAACAGTGTGTCTTCAGCCTGTAGCCTTGCCTTAAAATAAAGCAAAGCAAAGAGGATTCATCCAAGGACAGCAGCAGGAAGGAGTTCTGCTCCTAGCACAAATACAGACTCCTGCTTCGGAAACATGTGGATTTGTGGCATTTTGCATTTGCCATCTAGAGAGGAAGTACTCAGACAGTTTTCTTCTCATTTAGAGAGATTTTTCGTGGGTTTTATGTCAGAAGTGCTCAAGGGATGGTGAGCTTCTCCCCATGGCAGCAGCCTACAATATCGTCTTAGCGTTAATCTCCTTGTACAGCTTGCTGAAATTCCCTTTTAGCTAAAACGCTAGGAGATGTATATCCTAAGAACAGTAGGTTGGGAGGTCTCAGGCCTTTTCACAAGCAGAATCTGCTTAGCCACAGATAAGGGTTACAGCCATGGGAATGGTGAGTGGAACCACTGAACCAATTCATCTCAGTTCACCAGTGTCCAATTTCGCATGCCGAAGCACTAAATAGAAGAGGAAAAGTGGAAGCGTTTTGGATTTCAGAACTGACACTACAGTGTGTTTCAGTCTCCCTCCAAGCAACCAGCAGTTCACTGAATGTCTTCCAAGAACAAACTGAATGGTAGCTGGCATCCTATCCTTGCAAAACTGGCATCCCAGCTCATAAAGCAAACCATCTCCTCTCCTCCCCCCCACCAGCTTTTTCATTACAGCCAGACTCTTCTAATGAAGACACACATTTTGTTTGCCTGCAGTAATGTAGGTACCATTGATGCAATCTCTATAGGTACACATTCCTCAACAGTACTATCAAAATCCAAGCAGTTCTGTGATGTTGGCACTCTCCCTGCTCTCCCAGGGCAGCGGTTTGGTAGCTCTCATTCTTAATTCACGTGGAGGATGCTCTCAGTGGTTACATACTCTTTGTTTCTGAAAACATTGAGCTGACTGAAGAAAAAGCAAAAGGAAGACAAGGTACAACTCCCAGTCACCGATTCTATACTTTATTCCTGGTCACTGCCACCCCTTGATCCATTCCCATCAGCAGCAAGCTAAGTCTTGTGATGGAAAGCAGTGGGAGAAACTAGACCTGTGCTGCCAAAATTTAACTCTTGGCTTAGGTGTTCTGCCAGAGGTACGGAAGCTCTGTCTTTGCTTTCAGCCTCCATTTAGATGTCCTCTCAATCACATCCTCATAAAAGATACTGTTTGCAATATGCGCTCTTTTTCTCTCTCTCCTTTTCCAGTGATTTAGCGCAGCCTCATATCTGCTTTAGGGCTTGCAAAGACCTCCATGGGAATTCCTTCACCACAGAGTCAGTAATGTCAGCAGGGTATGAGCAGGACCTGGGGGTGCATTAACTCACCAACAGGACTGTTAATAAGAAAATGAAACTGATTTATTTTTTAGGTCACTTCTAAAAATACTTCTGGGAATACTCATCTTCCAAAACAACAACAACAAAAAATCCATAACCTGCCTAAGCAGCACTCTCATAGGAATCTATTAATGCTATATACATTCAGTCAGCTTCCTTAACATACCACTTCAGCTGTGTTTTGGCACCTGGCAAAGCCACAGTTATTCCTTCACTTAAGGATCACAGAACCAGCCTGGAAATGTTATTCAGAACACGCATTTGCAGTGAATCACCAGGACACAAGGGCGTATTTAAGAGCAAGGCTTTAAGCATAGATGAATTTAACCCCCCCCATAGATGAATTTAACAGTCTATGTCTTGGCACTTCTGCCAAGATGCTCTGCTGTGTCTCCCATCTCACTCATTTTCTCTCTTGAGCAGTAAGATACTGCTGGTTAGTAGAAATTCAAGCCACGCACATCCATTCTGCCTTTCAGATTTAGGCACGACAGAAGACACCGGGCACCCCTTCCTTATAGAGCACAGAGGAACATCTTGCAACACCCTAATTCCTCTTTTAATGCATGTAATTGTCTTTGAAAATGCAAGTCACCAAAGACCCAGCTTAGAAAAACCAAACTGAATTTCAAGATCAGGAGCTGAAGTCTCAGTAGTGAGAGAACATCCTTCAGACCCCAGGTCTTAAATCTGCCACCACAGACCAGAGAAAGTGAGAAAAATTATCCTGACTCTCCATTAGCACACAAACAACCCCGACTGCTTCTTTGCCTTCCATTTCTGAGGTGTATCTGATTATCAGATCATGGGGCAAGTGACATGCTATATTGTGAGGAATGTAAGCATCTCATTCCACTGATAGAGTGTGGAAATAAAAGATAGAGTAATTCAAAGTACTGGATTTCTGCCCCCACACCCAAGTTGACTGAATTGCTTTATTGCTGTGTTGATGGATGTTCGATGCCATGCTTTCTGCATAAGCTAAACATTATGCACACACTGAACTCAAGCTCCTAGCCTCTTATCAACTTCTATTTCAGCTATTTTGAGCAGATCAGAAGCAGATCGAGTCCCTCAGTTTAACAAAAGCCCAGAGATGGGTTTAAGATCTGTAGCTTATCCTAAATAACACCACAGTCTGAGCAGTCTCTTCCCCAAATCACCATATAGACACATACCTGATGTTGAAGCCAAGGACAGACAAGCAAAAGCATCCCAGTAAGTCTTTCTGAGCCAGAGCCTCTAAACAGAAATGCCCTAAGCAAGACCCCTCCTTTTAACAGTTTTTCAACTCAAATACTCTCAGCTGTAGCCAGTCCTTTCCCAGGTGGCCCAAGCTGGCTGCTTGACTCTAATCACACCCTGCTCTCTCAATTAGCTTCTGAATTTGTTAGCCACATTTCAGCCATCTGAGGACACAAGGGAAATAGGGGAAAGCTGGTCCCCCACTTGTACACACGTTGCTGTACAACAAGCCAAGTACGGGGATTGTGAGGTCTTTGTACAATTTGTCTTGTTCTGCCTTTGTGCTACGTGATGCACAAAGGATTCCTGTACGGTTTGTAGGACTCTTGGGTACTGTGTTCCTAAAACACAAATCACAGTAAGCCACCCTCCTGAGCAAAAGCCTCAATCCATAAGAAACTAAGGAAGATGGGACCTTCTTTCTCCAGGGTACTACTGCCACATTTCATGTGAACATAAACCCTTTGACACGGCTGCACAACGCTTCTTCACTTGAAGTATGCTTGAAGAGGATAATTTTATATATCTATATATATAACTCTAACTTACATAGCATCTGCCTGTTCCTCCCTTCTCCCTGCCTTTTCTGAGGGCTTGGCCACAGGATGGGTTACACACCTTCAGTCTGCACCAAGCCCAGTCCTCAGGACCTGCTACAACTCCCCATCAACAACCATACACACTGAGGCAGGCAAAGCGCAGCCTCCTTTTAACACACTGCAGGTACAAAGCATGGGAAACAACTGGTGATATCCACGAAGAGGAGGCAGCGAGCCGGGGGTCCTGTCTCTAGAAACACCATTGCAAAGTCTAAAACATGAAGCTCAGGTCCACATTTTGGATCTGGCCTGCAGCTGTGACACAGCAGGCTTTGGAGATAACACATACAAGTTCCAACAGGCACAGTGCTGCGCAGCCCTGAAGGTCAGAGCCAAGCTTTCAGCTAAGGGGAAGCAAGACAGCTTGTGTTTTGCCTCCTAACAGAGACAAAAGATCAGGGTACATCTGTTGGCATTCAAAGGCCATGTCAAGCGTAAAAGTCTTACTGGTTTTTGGATAAAAATCAAACAGCACAGGTTCTTTTTGGTTTTGCTTTTTTACCTTCTGCTTCCTGAGCATTTATGTCGTGTATCAACAGCACTTCCTGGCTTTCCTCCTCAGCTATAAAATGGCTAGAAACACCCTGGGTTTGAATCAAAGCTGTGTTTCCCACCTGAGTTTACAAGCCAGATCATTAAGGAAGGAAAGGCAACCTCCTGAGAGTCATGAGCAAACCTGAGAGCTGCACCACTGACATAACCCCTATGAAAGCTAACGCTGGAAGTGCTGTTTGCTTGCTTGGTTTTACACCTGCTTTGGGTTTTGTTTTCCCCTCCCTTTCTCTGGCTCTTCAGGGATCCACTGAAGATGAGCAGCACATGACTAAAGGCACCTCCTTAATTGAAAGCCAACATCACCACCTGCTGCACTGCCTGGAAAAAACAACCGTAAGTACCAACACAATCCTGTTGCATCTTACTAACTCCTTGTGCCTGGCCCAGGCTTCCTATGGGCAAGGTGTACCCACAGTATGGTCTGGAGTGGCCCTCAGGCATACCCAGTAGACCTTAAAACTACACCAGAAGGGGCTGGCACTCAAGCTCCTGATGCAGTGGGTTAAATGCACTTCTATTTCATTGTCCTCTTCAAAAGTAATAACAATCCCTGTGCAAAGGGGTCACAATGGGATTATCTGCTACTCCACCGTCACCTGCACCAGCACCAAGTCGATAGCGAGCTGCTCAGTCAAGTTCACTTGAATGCAAATAACTCTTCAGCGTGGGGCATGGGAGATCCTATAAACACCGTGTACCTTAAGTTCTTCAGTGTTTCTAAAATAGAACTGAGCTGTATTTGTCTTGTGCTGTCAGTCACACATCATATACTTGTCACTTGTGCTAAGTAGCGATAAAGGACAGTTCTGCTGCTTTGAAAGGAGGAAGATGCTGTCAGTGACTCCAAACTACAACCTGGTCACCAGTGCCAACAGGCTGGAAAAAAATTACCTTTAGCCCTTTATATGGCAGATGAACTCTCCTAATGGGCCTAAAGGCTGCACATATCTTTTCTCAGTACAGTTCTGGTTACAAGAGCAGGTAATTTATCTCAAAGCCAGTCAAGCAGTTTCTGTAAAAGGACTACTCGGTATCATACAAGGTGCTGGGAGTGAGAATTGTGATTTTTCATTATTAAGTGATGTTGTTTGCAAGTCTCTAGAACATTTTACATCTTTATGTGAGACTTATATTTTACTTCCAGGTTTATATAAAAGGTTCTGCAGTAAAGGAATACATTATGAGGTGTCCCTGCCCACGGCAGGAGGGTTGGAACAAGATGATGTTAAGGTCCTTTCCAACCCTAACTATTCTATGATTTTATGACTATCTATACCATGATTCATTATAGAAAGAATGGAGGGAAGTTAACACTTCAAATATTCATGCCTTTTTCTATCTGCATCCATCATCAAATGTACTTTTGATTTCTGACTTGCAAGAGCTTTCTTTTAGATAAATCGCCTTCACTTCCATAGTTTGGCTTGTGCTGGAATAACACCACTTAGGCTTCAGCGATACACTGGAAGACGACTGGTTAATTACAGTGACCTGCTGAGTGCAGCTGGTTTGTCACAATGAGCTCGAAAGGTCACGATTCCACAGACCGTGAACTGGTTCTTCCTGTATCAATGACTACCGAATTCATTTTATAAGCCTCGTCTTGCCTTGATTTCTACCAGTTTTGGATGTCACATAACAAGCAGATATTTCACAATCTGACTCTTCAGTTTAGAACTTTATGCTTAAAACCATTCCTACCGTGACCCATATTTTACAAGCGTAAGTTCGTTTGCAAACTGTAACAAATTGGCTGAAGCAGAAGCTGCCAACGCTGCCTCCGGGTCTGCCCTTGTAAGGCCCCCACTCTGTACAAGCTCTGAGCTCTGCGCAGGCAGGTGGACATCTCTGGGAGCTGCATGAGTTGCTCCATTTCTAATGAGCCCATTATGTGCTGGGAGTAACACAGCCAAAACACATCCTCATTTGTGGATGCATTAGCCCACCACACTAACGAGGCTGGATTGAGTCCAGCACAAAAACCTACTCAGTGAGTATCATGGTTGAAGATGTCCCAGATGTTGCTCTTTTCAGCAAAGAATGGCAATAACAGTGATACTTTGAATTTTTAATTAAAACCTAGAGGGAGAATCTGCACTGCATTTAATGTGCTTTCCCCCATGTTTTTCAGGCAGTTCTTACCATGATGTTGCATCAATTCACACAACAAGTTTAGATTCTGGTCTGGAATTACCAATCCAAATAGTTTCAATCAGCTTGTGTGGAAATTCTGTAGTTCACATAATCGATTAAAATATATTGAACAGTTCTCCTCCCAAAATTCAAATCATAGCAAAAGAATTTTTCAACTCTGAAGAGTCATTTTGTGACCAAGTTGCAGGAATGGAATGAGGAATGTACCACGGCTGCAAACCTGTTTCAATGGGCAATTCACCTTTCCTTAAACTAGGCAGAAGGATTCTAAAAGTACGTTTATTGTCATGGTATCTGTGGTCATCACTAGAATACAGCCTTACAACCCAGTGCCTGTGAACAGCTCCCAGGTCTGGTGTGTCAGATGATAAAGTGACCCTAAAGTACTTCTAGTTGCCATAACTGAGACTACTTTGTCCCATTAACATAACAGATGGAGTTTGCTCAACAAAAGGAGTTGTTTTCCACTCGTTCCAACTCTCAGACTGAGTATGGACATTTACATGCCATGTTTTCTCCGAATGCCAAGTGCATTGGATCCAGTCCTTCAGCCCAAACCTTTCCTCTCTGTTTTCACAGAGTATGATCACAACCCATATCCATTGGTGACCCAATGGCAATACAATTCCAATTCACTGTTTGTGAATCAGCAGCTGAAACTTTGTTCTCTTTTGCCTTCGGCTCCCAAAAGATCAAAGCAATAAAGCTGTTACCAATTTTGTTCTATTTCCAAAAATATGACATTAAAAAGCATACGTGTGAGAAGGAAGGAACAAAGGGGTCTGATTGAGGCAAGGTTTGGTAAAGAGAAGGTGCTGTTGCCCATTCAAACTTGAGCAAGCCAGCTGGAATGCTGAGGCAATAGATGCAGTGCTGGGACTAAACTTCTGAATGCTGGTATGGACAATCAATGGTGTTTTTATCTTTTGTTGGCATGTTGTCCCGTAGGGATTGTCCTATCTTGTGGATGATCCCCTGTTATCTGTACGAACTTCCACCATCAAGGTACTTCCTTTTTAATTCAATGTTTTCTCTATGGTCTCTGTGACGTGTCTGGAGAGTGTTTGCTTCCTTTCTCGGTCCTGGTCTTGTCTTTGGGAGTTTGTGCACGTGGCTCTTTTTTGGCTATCCAGTGCTCTTGTTTCCTGTGAGTTGTTATTGTTCCAGTGAACACTGATGCCTGCCTTCACCATGGTTGCTTTTGTTTCCCATCCTTTCCGATGCTGAGAGGGACTGGATAAAGTATGTTCACTAGAATTACTTGGGTGTTCATACACACACATACGAGTTCTTTCTGTCAGGATTTGTTAGCACAAAAGCTCTTGACAGATTCAGCTTTCTGAATTTCCTTCCCCTCCACACTTCCCACTCTCACCTGCCATGTTTATTTCCACTCACGTAATAGCACCCAACAAAATGCAGGTATGCTTTGAACCCAACAGCCAATACAAGCAACATCCTGCAGTTAAAGTAATGTGCCAAGATGGTCATCGAAACAAAACCCAATTCTGGACCCAGGCACAAAGAAAAAGGAGCATGAATCTCCTCTTGGGTTTCATAACCATGTGGTTATAACCATTGCAGACTCTGAAGCCACTTCTGGAATCCAGACACAGAAATGAAATTTGAACACAATGTATTAGCTATCTCAGACTACATAAGCAAGGCAGCACTGACAAGACTATCATGCCTCTGTCGTAGCCACAGCTTCTTTTATTCCCCTACAGATGCAGGAGAGCAAACTCTTCTCTTGCTTCACTGAGTGAAAGAGCAGAGCCATTTCTCTTTTAAGATCTGCCTAGTGCAAATATTTTCAGGCAGAGAGGCAGAGAACATCTCCCACAGCCAAGGGGCTGACGCATAGCGAAAGGTGCTGTTGAAAACAAGCTGCTGTGTCACAGAGATTAATGGCACTGTTTCTTCCCCCGCCAGAACCACGAGTTCATAGACGAGCAGCTGTTCGAGCAGAACTGCATGGAGAGCTCAATGCAGAACTATCCTTCCTCTCGGAGCCCCTCCTTGTCAAGTCACCACGGCCTGACCACCTCCTGCTGCTCTCGCCGTAACAAGAAGACCACTCACCTTCCCAACTCCAGTGTGCCGGCCACCCGCCTGCGGAGCATGCAGGAGCTCAGCACCATCCACATCCAGTGCAGCGAGCAGCCCTCCCTTACAACAAGGTACAGTAAGTAGGCTCTTGCTGCTAACTACTGCATGCAAACCTCTGAAACACATTATCCAACTGGACGTTCTTGCAGGCCTCTTCTCCAGCCAGGGAGAAGGGGCCAGTGCTGGGAGCATCTTTGCTTCTCTCTCTCATGACAACCCAAAGAAAGTGGCTCCTAACTTCCTGGAAAGAGCCAGGTCAAAGCTAGACTCTAGTGCAGCTCTTCTCTGGCCAGACTGGACACAGAAAAGTGAATTCCAGCTGACCCTGCCTTGGAAGGGCTAATCACGCATGCAGGAGCCAGCAGCTCCCAGCTGTGAGCCACCCACCAAAGCTGGTGCAGGACCAGCCCACCTCCCAAATAGCCCAAACCTTTACTGGAGCAGAGACAACTGGCTAATGAGTGTGTGTCAGCAAAGGCTGCTAGAGAGCTGTACACACGGACATGGTCCACACCAGGGTCACACCACTGACTTTCACTGCCCTAAAGTCTGAGTCACAACTGTAAGCATCAAGCATCACTGGGAAACAAATAAGGAGGAATTTCACAATGGTGTCTTAGTAGCTCTCACCTAAAAAGCCATTAGCAACACAGGTGAAGTAGCTCTTAATAGAAAAGCCTGAAATTTTCATTTTATACATAGCTTGATGAAAAAAAATATATATATCATTTCTTCACCATACCTTCCTTGTACATATTAAATTACTTTCTAAATCCCCCTCAGCCCATTAAGCTTCTTGTACAGCAGACTGGCTTTGAGCTTCCCATTCTTCTCCTCCCCAGTCCTATCAAAGGGCTCTAGAAACTGAAATGAAGCTGCCTTTAGGGCAGCAAGCGATTACTTTGTGCCAGGCTGAAGTCAGAATGGAGTTTCAGAGAAAGAACTATGAATGAATACACACAAAACAAGTCTCTAGCTACTGCAGTTTCAAGAAGACAATGGCTTAAACCAGCACTTGTGATTCGGGGGAATGTCAACTATTCTGCCTTTGAGCAACCTGCTCTAGTGGAAGGTGTCCCTGCCCACAGCAGGGGGTTGGAACTGGATGAGCTTTAAGGTCCCGTCTACCACAGACCAGTTTGGGATTCTGTGATTTCAGTGGGTCAGATGTCAGTGATATTTTACATGTCAATGCTGATCATTATTTCACTTGCTTACCAAACTGTAAGAATGGCAAGAGGAAGAAAAGCTTTTGAACTGTTTTTCATGTGGAATGCAACTTACTGGGTGTACTGGTTACCACTGGCAGAACCACCCAGTCCCTAAGACTGCCCCACTCTCAGCTTGTGACTGAGGCAACCGGGGAGCAGAATGGGTTCTGCAGTGCTCTTGGGATGCTTGGGCGATCCAGAAACATCCTCTCGGTGAGTCACTCTGAGATAACAACAGCAACAGCTTCCTAACTGGGAGCTTTACATTTTAAAAGGACAGGCCTTGTGTTTAAAATGAACATGTTGGGCTGGTAATAGCAGACTCCTGTAGCTGTGCAGATGCACAGAAACCAACCTATCATTTTCCCCTCTGTAATTAATTATAGGATGCAATTGATGGAGATCTAATAAGAATGCTCCCAGCTGCCAGATCACTGAAACTACTGCAGAGAGATGGAAAAAAATAGAGAAGATCAAGGGAGAGTGAATTTGAAAGAGGCATTTGAAATGCAAGAAAGACAACACCTCTTTCTCAGAAAGAGCTACCTGTGCTCTGACAAGATGCAGTGCACAGGACAGTACATTTAGATGCCCTCTTAAGTAAACTAGAATTATGCAAGAATGAAACAGAAACATAGAACGATTTACCCTGTGAAAAGCTGTATCCTAACTTTGGGGAATACTAAAGCAGCTTAGTGTAATCTGGGTAGAAATAAATGATGCCTTGAAGGGACTGGGGGGAACATTTAAGTAGAGCCTCCTGAATATTTCAGTACCCTTAGTTCAGAGGAATAAGATGCTCATTAAGAACAAGTCCCATTCGCATCCTCTCTGCTGTCTGGTTCCAGAAAGTACAAAAGCCAAACACTAAATTTGTTTTCTAGTCGTTCCAGTCTCAACATGAAATCAGATGATGGGCTGAGACCGAACTGCAAAACTGCCCAGATAACAACAGCCATCATCAGCATCCCCACGCCGCCGGCACTCACGCCAGAAGGTGAGAGCAGACCTCCACCCAGCAGTCCTGGCCATGCCACGAACATTCCCACCACCACAAGCAACATAGTCAAGGTCTCTGCCTTGTAAGACGTCTCATGCACAGAAGGAGGCTGGAAGACCAGTGCCCCTCTCCCTCCACACCTCCATGTTCCTTTCTTGCTGCAAATTGTGCCTGGATGGACCAACCTGACATTTTGTCATCGAATTAGCAATGGAGACCTAACGAGGCAGCTTTCTCCAGACTCGTGTCATGCTGTGGACTGAGGAAGGATTAGGAAAGGGAGGAAGAGGCTGGTTAAAGGAAAAACCTGCACTGAGAGCGGGTTGTGCCATGGTACAGGGCAAAAATCACCTGCAGAGACTGGAGGGAAAAAAATCATCATGGCAACAAGAGAGTCAATAAAGAGAATGGGAATATAACACTGTGTATCGCAGCACCTTTTTAAAGGTTTTTAATGGATAATATTTATTCATGAGGAAATGACTGAAAAGGTGAAAAACAATGGATTTTGTGAATTTTTTTTTTTTTCTTCATGGAGCAGAACCTTTAAACCAACCAAAATTTCACATTTTGGTTTTTTTTTCTTTTATAGGAAAAGCTATAGACAAAGAAGCCACCTGGCACAGAAACCTATTCCATTCCCGTGTGTGTGTGCGTGCGAGTGTGCAGCACAACCCCTGAGTTACCCAGAGCAGAGCATGTGCCCATGATTGGCTGCACAGTAGGAAAACCCAAGCACGTGTCAGCACACCCACGGGCACACACACACACACACACCTACTCCACCCTGGATGGCATTCTTTATTTAGCCAATTTTGTATCCGCCTTTTAAGTCAATACAGTGCAATTGCAAACAGTGTGTTTGTCTGCTAATTATTGTCTGTGAAAACATATTTGTGCAACAAAAAGAAAAAAAACAACAAGAAAACAAAAAAAGACAAGCTTTAGTAGAGTTTTAGTCCCACAGGGGGATCTGCTTTCTGATTTTGTTATCACTTACTTGTAAGAGTGTGACTAGATTACCAGATCTGTATTTTTAAACAGGAAAACAATAAAATCCAAGGTAGGATTCTTTTTTAATCCTGGACACACAAATGGCAAAGAATGAGAAAGCACCGAGCTCAACTGCATCACGCCTTCATCAGGCTGACAGAGGTTTCTTGTAATATATGCCCATGGGGTTTCATTTTTGGTTTCTCTAGATCAATTTCTTTGCTAGCACTGGATATACAACCTATTGTAAATAGTAGCCAAATAATTTCTGGATCTATACTTGATAATAATTAACCCCAGGGCCAAATATCTTGCATGGACAGAGAGGTATTTGGCTTTTTCACAGTCTTAGGACTCCAGCTGTCTCCAATGGCTTTCTGGGTTGCATTGATTTTGGGGGTAGACTAGGTTTGCGGTTTTATTTCTCCAGTCCCAGCATAAGATCTATAGCATGCATCCACTTGAGAAGGGGGAGCATTACTGGAGTTTGGAAAACACTTAATCGAGTGTGGTACAGACAGCAATTTCTTTTTGCAGTTCTACACTTGGTTTGGGAAAAGTCACACACTTCCAGTGAACCAAAACCTGCAGCAACACCGTGTGGTACTGCCAAGGAGCTGACACTTCTCACTAAGCTGTGGTCAGTCCCCGCACCTCTTTCTGAGATCTTTCTAGGAATGATATATTGTAAGGAAACAGTTCTGAAACACAACTGGTTTTCACCCCCATTGAGTTACATTTTACTTCCATTCTGCCTTTCTCAAGTCCCCTTTTCATACCAGGTAGGACCCACGAAGGGCAGAGTGAGGAACACCATCACCCAGCTTTCCATCTCCCATACACTTTGGCTAATTACTGTGGTCATGCACAAACGCCTCTTCAAGGCCCTACACCCACCCAGGAATAGTGATGCACCCAACAGCTTGTAGATAATAACTGAATATTTTAAGTGTCCTGTTTCTGAACAGTGATTTTACCAACACTGGAGTTAAAAGAACTACATGAAGCATGTTTTAGGCTGATTCAGCAAAGGGATGGCTTTTTTTTAACATCTGTCATAATTTATCCTGATGTAATATTTATATACACATATACATGCATACACATATAAATAAATAGGAACATACATGTATAGATAGATAAATAGACCTACATGCTGACTTAAACATGCAAGCTAGCAATGTGCTTTATTAGCACTCCTAACCTAGTCTAGAGAACAGACTCGGATGGCTGATGCATTAACTCAATAGCCTCCTTGGAAACCTACCACATCCTAGGAATATTAGGGCTATGGCTAAGCCTTCAGTAGCTGCACCAGCTTATAGTCATTTATTCCAGTGCTGTAATATGTTATCCAAAACTACGTTTAGTCCTGTTTTAAATGATTAAAACGCTCGGCCTTTGCTGCTTCCTGTAGGAGGTTATACTGCAGTTAATCTTACCACGATTGAGTTTTTCTTGATGTTTTAATTTATTCTTTAATTTCATTATTTGTCATCACCTCCTCCCCATCTGAACACCCTCATTCTTGTAGCTCAGAGCCCTTGCTCTCCACCACTCACCACCTTGCAACCTCATCAACACTGGCACAGAATGAGGGTTAAACGTGACCATGCTGACTGGGCGCAGTGCTCCTTCCAGTGTGCTGGAGTACATGATTACAAAGAGCCAGGGACTCACCATGGACTCTCAGTGCTGCCTTTCTTATTCCTGATTTACTGTGGAGTGGTAAACAAACCACTTCATCTCCCTGCACCCATTTGTCTGTAAATAGCAATCACAGCAGCCCCTGCCTGGAGCACTATTGGTCTGTTTAATTGCCATCAATCCAGATGCTTTTTGGAAAGAAGAGAAAAAAAAAACATTTTTAAGAGGAAGATAAAAAAATAAATAAATAAGGAGGAAAGACAGTCCCTGGCTGCTTGGGCTCAGGTTGTCAAGGCAGCCATGGCCTTTGTTCTCTTCCACAGAAGAGGAATCATTGTTATCCTTGCTCAAAAATATATGGCTTGCCTCTTCTACCATTAACTTAGCAGGTGCTGCCCCATGCCGTCAGTACCTCAGCACAGACCTTCAGAAGATAAAGACAGACAAAATTAAGGCAGTCTGAGCTTAGAGGAACAGGGCTAAAAATATTTTTAATGAAGGCATTAGCTCCCTTTATACACTGATTTGAAGTAGACTGAGTAATGCTTCTGAAAGCTCTTGAAAATATGCTAGTACAAAACCTCCCTGCATTGCCCAACACAGCTACATCCTCATTATGAGAGCACTGTGCATTCATGGAAACAGCAAAGACAAGAATCTCTCGCCACTGGATCAGTGGTTGATAGGGCATAACACAGCATCCTTCAAACAATGCAGGGAAGAATGGAAGAGCATGGGAGCTGCACTACAGCCTCTTATTCCCACAATGACAGGAGGCAATTAGCTTTACTGAAGTGCACTTTATAATAGTGAAACAGCAACTTATAAACCATCTTTGCAACTTAAAAACTAATTTAGCAACCACCCCAAAGGATGTTGTAGTGAGGTAATCGGTCTCTTCTCCTAAATAACAAGCAAGAGGACAAGAGGAAATGGCCTCAAGCTGCACCAGGGGAGGTTTAGATTCGATATTAGGAACAATTCCTTCCCCAAAAGGTGCTCAGGCACTGGAACAGGCTGCCCAGGGCAGTGGTGGAGTCAGCATCCCTGGAAGTGTTCCCAAACCATGTAGACAAGCCCCGTAGTGACACGGGTTAGCAGTGGCACGGGTTAGCAGTGGCCTTGGCAGTGCTGGGGAACAGTTGGACTTAATGATCTTAAAGGTCTTTTCCAACCTAATTGATTCTATGATTCCTGAAATAAGTCACTCCTGAAAATTCCTTGGCCAAAACTTTAACTGAAGGATTCGGGCTGTTCTCTCCAGGACTGCCAAGTGCTGCCCTACCTGACCAGCACCCCTTTGCCCTTCCCCAGGGCCACACGCACGCAATGACACTATATACAAACCAGCACATATCCCTGCAATCCTGCTCAGTCCTGATGCACATGGAAGGAAGGGGGCTTCTCCAACTGGTGGAAAAGCATCCAGCAACTTAGGTAGATTCTAATCCTGACACCTTTCTGAAAGGCAGGTGGTATAAAACAGCCTGATCAGCAAGACTGCTCAACAGAGTGTCTCTAGTACATTGGCAGTTCCTTTCAAAAGCCTTCCCCCTCCCTCTAATTCCTTACCACTTTTTATAGTTTTAGAGAAGTTCATCAAGAATAAATAAAACCAGATTGTTTGTACAAAAAGCAAGTGGAAGGGGATTATTTTTTCAGTCTTTCATAAAGCAGTATTAAAAATATCACAGGAGCAAGACATTTTGTTCCCTTTCCAGAACGTTTTCTGAAGCAAACCTATTTTCACAGATCTTCAGCATATTCTAGTAGTAGATTTACTCTCTCTACACCTGGCATTAGGCTGCTAATAGAAGGAATCGCACCCCATTGGCAAAGAATGATGAGAAATAGCTTCTACATCCAGGCTTTGACTTCAACCTAGTCCTTCTGAAACCCACCTTTTATTATCATTTTCCTTAAAAGATCTTAAGGACACCCACAAAGATGAGGCCACAAAAAGAACTAAGAAAAGCAATCCCTCCTCTGCCTGCACAAGATCCTTCACTGCAATGGATTGTGTTACTTTCTCTAGATTAGATTTAAAACTCTCCAAGGAAAGGACTCTGACTGCTTCCCTGGAGAACTTATTCCAGGCTGATAGATCTTAATGCCAAGGATTTTTCCCCTGCTGTTCAGTCATAATTCCTTCCTTATTTTTCCTCTCTTGCTCCCATTGCACATCCTCAGCACATTGTAAATTAGCTGCCTACCAACAGAAGAATTCTTATCCTGGGAACTACTTTTGTCTGTCAAATAATTATCATTGTTAGAAGTGAACTGGGGAAAGGTGAACCAAGTAACAAACACAGCTTTAGCATGGAATAAAGCTAACAGGGAATTCAAAATACATCTTTCTTTACAGCTGGCCAGAAATACCAAATTTGAATCTATGCTGCTTGTTTAACCTGAAATAGTCAAAAATACAAACTGCAAACCAGCATTTCTCATTCTAGTTTAGACAGCTTCGGGTGTGTGCATGAAAATCAGATTAATCCCAGCTAAAGCAAGCAATGTTTCTTCAAATAGTTTGCTTTTTTAAGTAAAGAGGTTGTAAATATGTCGTACCTTACATGTATTATACAGCAAATTCAGTGAATTAAAAATCACCTTTCATTTATGGGTTGCACCATCCCTTGGATCCTGTAATATTTTGTCTATGGCAGAGTTACAAAGTCAGCATTCATGGATGGCTTGTGAATACCAGCAGCTTTGAACTGAAGATTTTATTTTGCTTCTAAAGTAAATGGTATAGATGATTAATATACCTTTTCCATATAATTTACCAAATGTATCTTAGTTGAGTAAAAAAAGAGAACACTTATTTTTCTCCAACACTTTGAGCAACTGCACTAGATACATGATTTCAGAGCTCGAGTTTTTAGGCTTCACATTTAATGATGCCAGAAACAATCTTCATAAAGGTTTAGTCTTTCTAAAACTTTAAAAGCCAACAGAAGGCAGTGTGCATGCTGATTAGAGCTAGGAGTCAGCATCTGTGTTCTAGCAACCTGTGTTCTACTCCTGTCTTGATGAATCACTAAGTGACCTGGAAGAAGTCATTTCACCTCTCTGCCAATTACCCAAGCTGTAGAGAATTTAATACCTCCTCCTTCAGTAAGTGAAGCTCAATTCATGAACACCTACAAAACACCAGAGAATACTGGGGAAAGCACACCAGAAAAGTACTGCTACTCATGTTCAGAATGCAAAACTGTGCCAGAAAAACTTCAGGTGGAACAGTCGAAAGACCAGGTGACAAAGAGCTTGTGAAAATTCC